TCTTGACCAAGTTTGCAAGCTAGCAAGCTGCTGTTCCGTGGGGAAGACCGCTGCGGATATCAAGGCAGAGTTTGCGGCTTGGTGGAAGGAGGTTGGCCAGGACATGCTCTTGACCGGCAGCCCTGACGATGGCTGCGACGAAGAAGACTGTGAGGAAGAGGAGGACGAAACAGTGGATACGACTGATTCCCACAAGTTGGAGGAAAAAGATTTGCTGGACAGTCTGCACTGTGTTGCAGAGCAGGTCACAGCAGAGGAGAAGATTGAGCAGCTGGAGAAAACAAATGCCCCAGAGACAGTGGCTGACAAGACCGGAGACAAGTTGCCAGACTCAGATACTGAAGAGGAGGAGGAGGCACCATCTGACAACGCAAAACTCACAGCCACAGGCATTTACACCTTAGGCGATGTCCTGGAGAAATCTGGTTTGAAAGATTTCCACCCGCAAAAGGACGATCACGAATCGCGGATGTTTCAGAGAGTGCGGAAACTCAGCCAGCAAACCCAGACGTTTTGCGCCTTTGTGCGCATTCACGAAGGAATACTCTCCAGATCGACCATCCTGGGAATGAAAAGACCCACGAACAAGCACAATGCCATGGAACACGCCTTAGCTGACCATTTCATGTATTTTGTCGTGGTTTGGAGTTTGGCCCAATGCATTTTGTAGCGGTCAATGCATTTTGTTTTTGATTTTTACCCCCCTTCAGAGGACCACACCAACGGCTCGTGGCACATCAGGGCCAGCAAGAGCGAGGAGACGTGTGTGCCAACTAGCAGTGGCTGCGCGGTTTGTAAGGAGTGCCGCCGCATGGGAAGCGGGCACGGAGTCACCAGATCAGTTCTCAAATTTATCAAGAAGTACTTGATGGCCAGGTTGTTGCACGCAAGAGTGTTTGCTGGCAGGGACGCGGCACTTGATATCGAGAGTGCGATCAAAGAGAGCCCCCTGCATGAGCACGATCACAAAAACGTGACTCAATTGATGAAGCTGCCAAATACTCAGCTCCAGCAGTTTGTCCGCTATTCCTGGCTGTCTTCCACGAAGGATGCCATCACCGATGCCCACGCTGATTTCATTGCATCCATCGCCCGGCCCGCGTTACGTTGAAGGTGAATGTTACGAGTGTTCCAGCAGAGATGGCTGACGTCATTGGCCGTTTTACTGCGCTTTTGATGAGCGGCCGCGCGAAGCAGGAAGACATGGCATCCCTGAAAGTAGCCGCAGCGGCCATTCAAGGAAAGCTGGAAGCTCATCCCTTGTTGCGCGGCATAAGCCTTCAATGCCTCCGGCTTATCGAGAAACAAGAAAGGGGAATAGACTCGATGAGGGGTCGGAGGAGTTCAAAGACGGAAGCTGGCACTTGCGTGTTGCAGCAAAAACCTGGCGAAGGAGTTCGGTGTGAACCTGAAATCATACGGAAACATCTTAGATGACCTACTTCCGAAGAGTGTGCCTTCCCCAGCTTTGTCTCTACACTTTTCAGGCGTCCTGGAACAGAACTTTGAGCTCCTAGACCAGAGGTTTTTGAGGTCCAAGCCAGAAGCACACTGTGTCCTGAACAAACTTAAACATCCTTGAAGCTTTTACGATTTTTCCTTTTTTGATATTTTTAAATATATGTTGTTTTTTGGTAATATAATATAATATATATATACTTGAATCTTCCTACTAACTGGCAACCCAACCACCACTCTCTACTAAATGCATCTGGGTAACGCTGTAGGCCGCTTTGTCCTATGCTTTGATGCGACCTACCTTACAGCTACGCTGAGCCAGCTCAAGATCCATGACAAGCACATCAGCCAAGACATGCCAAGACAAACCATTTTGTAGATGATACTTGTGTGGCTATTCTCTGACATTTATTTCTCTTTGCTTCTTCCTTCTGCACAGTCTGCAATGCGTTCTTGAGCCACCCCATGTTGCTTGAGCACGGATTGCAGGAGCAGCTGGTCTGGGTGCAGTGCCCCCCTAGTCGCAAGTCCTGAGTGAGGGCATGATCATGTCGAAGGCGTTGCAATGCGAACACGACTCTCCACTAATCTGCTTGTGCGGAGGTGACTGCTTTCGGGGCCTCGTTACCTATAGCGGTAGCAAAGAACCAATTGACTGTCTGAAATCCACAATCTGCGGCAAACTCCGTAGGGAGAGCGAAAGTAGCAAAACTGAACTCATGAGGCCACACGATTCAACCACTACCTGTTGGACTGCATTGGCTACTTCGAGTGGTAACCACAATGTCGCCCCTTCTTCAGTCACCCTCAGGCAGAGTGGAAACCAATGACTGCGTGCTAGCACCGGCACCATGAACAACTGGAATGAACAATCGAGCTCATGTGCATGGAGGGACTGCAGAGCCCAGGTGGCTATGTGTTGATCGATGTCCGTGAAGTCCTGAAGCTCGATGGGATCTGAAACCTGGTGGCCTTGGCCTCGCACTAGCTTGACATAAAACTGCATTTCATCTACCGCTACCAGGGGGCCCTGGACAAGCAGACCTTGGAACCGACTTTGGCCTTGGAGGGTCAAGATCGTGGATTGGCCGTGGTGACCTAAGGTCACCCCAGCAAAAACTTGACTGGTCAGATGGCGTCGCCCTTGAGGACGCTGTACTTTGGAGAGCTCTTCACAGACAATACCCAGTGCCGGAGTTATGGCCTGCCACCTGCCGCTTACTCTCGGGTGAATCCAATGAGTGATAAGCTCAACTCCTTGGTCAACAACACCTTTTTTCTCGTGGAGACCATTGTGTTTCTTGGCCTACATGAGCCTACTATAATATTATAGCCTAGTGAGATCCACCTTGCAAATTGTAAAGTACAGATTTGGGATGATTTGGGGATATTTGGGGGGTGACCTAGGACAATTCATTTTGTAGTGCAAATCTCTACAAAAGGAATTCCCCAACATCACTATACTTGGAAAAGCCACTCACTCGCTACAACATGCATTCCGAGCCTGTGTTGACCTGGCAAACACATCAAACCCTCATGAGTGCTGACGTTGTTTTCAGTACAGGGCAGCTGCTTGGTTGAGTACGGTTTTGGGCGCAGCTGCAAATTGAAAACCCCACCCACCCACTCCATATGAATCTGGCCCAAGTGCCAGGCAGGGCTGTGTGGGCCATGCCACCCTGGAGGTGCCTTCTGGGGTGGCCATGGATTGCGCGCTGTCCATTGCAAAAGAGCGCTTGCTGCTGCAGTTATTTTGTGCCATGCTACTCATTGAGGGTTCCATTGTTGTCTCTACAGAATGCTGGGACGCAGTCGCTTTGGGTCCTTGCGGGCCCGTTTTTCTTCCAAGCTGAGGAGGGGCCCTTGGAGTCTATGACCGTACCATGGAGCTTGTGCGGCATGAGCATCCACAACTGCCTTACAGCATTGTGCCTGTCTGGCTTGGTTCACCGGGAACTAATAATGGAGGAGAGATGCGAAAACGCCATCACAGGTTTTGTGGCCTTGGATTAGTTTAAGATCCTATCAGATCGCAAGTGCCAGGCGACGCAGTTGCCAGCTGGCAGCTGTTTCTATGCTGGCCAGACTTTGCGCAATGCTCAAAGTGCCGCTTTAGCGACTATAGTCATGACGTTGTCCAAGCCTAGCTGGTACAATTGCTTTGACCACGGACACGGAAGGATGACCGAGATCTCGGTCGAGCAATGGTTTGCTAGATGTGCCGACAGCGGATTTTGTAGAGGCCTCACTATTCAAGTTAATGTTCCTAGATGTACCTAGCATTTTGTAGAGACATCATAGCTACTGCTACACAGGTTTCAGAAATCTTCTGTGTGTGGTTGCGTTTTGTAGAAACCTCATTCATCGTGTTAAAGTTTTTTGCATTGTGTAGGGGCTTTGATGGCTACTGCAACTCAGGTTTCAATCCTGCTGTCAGAATGGTTTGCAAGCTGCATTGGACCTGGCTTCGCGTTGCGGAAATGTGCCAGCCCAGAGACTTCGGCAATGGTATGATGACTACTGCACTGTGGGCTCTTTGGAAAGAGTCCCAGAGTTTGAAGAGGACGAGCTGGAACTTTGCGAGGATGCTGAAGATAGTCTGGTCTCCAAGGATCAGACTGAGTGTGGGCAGTTCTTGGATTCAATGCAGGGTGATGAAGTTGCAGACACTTCGTTCTTCAAGCTTGGCGAGGAAGATGAGTCAGCGCCAGAGGGCACCACTGCTGACAATTACTTGGCCGGAGTTCCCGATCGGGACTTGATTGAAGAGCTTCTGGAGAAGCCAGCAGTGTTGGAACCCTTTGGTTCCGAGCAAGCCAGATCCGCCAGAAAGCGGGGGCGTCAAGGACCGAAAGAAAGAACGCTCCCAAGTACATTGAGGGAGGCATTGACGACCAAGGGGTGCATGTTCAATAGCATCTTCCGCCTGCGCTTGCGATTGCGGTCGTTGAGGGGAGGCTTGGACTCTGGCTTCTTGAAGAACGGACAGAATACAAGAAAAGCCGCATCGTGACTAAATTGTTATCAGCCTCACGGCAAATAAGTTTGCGTTTTGTAGTGGAAAAGCGTGTGGGGCAATGATTTTGTAGGACAAAAGTGAGTGGGGCTGACTTTTATTAATGTAGAGCCTTTGGAAGTTGAATTTTGATGAACTTTGAGGTATAATGAAAGAAGACTTGCGCAACTCAACCATCAACGAGAGGAAGGCTTTCACAACGGCCGGACGAGTAGATTGGCAAAGTGGGGAGAGGTTTCGGAGCAGGCACGCCAGGAGCTGCAGCTACCACCTCAAGCGCTGGAAGTCTTGAAGCCCCTTTGCCAACCATCCCCGGTGGAGATGTTTGCTGTATATTGTTGTATATATTTTGATTATTTTTCTTCACTTTTTGAAAGATCTTGTTGTATTCTGTTGTGTTTTGGCATTTGGGCTTTGGATTTTGTAGACATTCAGGGCATTTGCTTGGCATTCTGTTATTCTTTAGATTTCTGCGTACCTGAGTCCTGAGGCCTGGCCATGTGATCTTGTTCCACACTCCGGGCAGGACTTCTTCTGTACAAACAGGTTTGGTCCTATCGGTGTGGCGCGGCGTCAAAGCTCCGAAGCTCATTTGCGGAGATGTCCCGATCAACTGCGTCGTGGCTTTCAGGGCAGTCCAGCTCGATTTGCAGATCCCACCAGAGGAGGGTGTAGAATCCAAACACTACAAATCTAGGTCACAAGAACGTGTAGATTCGAAGCATTATCCATTGAGTCTTCTACATCATTAACTCTACAAAATGCTCAGGGAGGTCTTTGAAGTGAGGTGCACTGACTCAATTCATTTGATTTGCAGTGGACAGGAGCCCCCAACGCATTGGAGCTGTCGCAATGATTCATTGGCTTGGGTTTCCCGAACAGAGTCCTTGATCACTGTCCTGAATTGTCAAAATTGCACCCTGGAGGCATGCATTCTGTAGAGGTCTTTAAGTCTTATTTTGCATTTTGTAGAGGTTTACTTTGTACATCTTTGTACCTTTGATCATGTTTGTTTTTTGTTGCGCGGCCTGCTTGTTTTCAAGGTGCTTTACCTTTTGACAGCCGTGGAAGTGTGCGCATCACTATCAGCGAGGAAAGTGCCCAGGCAATCAAAAGATTGCCTGAGATGAAGAGCTGGAGTGTGCAGCCAACAATGGCGCCGGGAAGGGGAAAGAAAGCAGATGGCTTGATGCCAGGCAAGCAGAACAAGGGCAAAAAGTCCAAGACTGATGCAGCAAAGACGAAGATTCGCCGTGGCAAGTATGCAAAGAAGGCGAAGCACTCCAAACTTGGCAAGAAGGGGAAGAAAAAGAAGGCCAAGGGCAAGAACCAGGAGGCAACTACAGAAGTGGATGCTCAGCTCGTCGCGGAGGAGGCGCGTGAGCAGGCAGATAAGAAGAAAAAGAAAAAGAAGCCAGTAGCGGTGAGCCTTTCAGTGCAACCACCGAGTTCCAAGGAATATCGGAGAACGCAGACGGGTTTCTCAGTCATCAGGGGCCAGGTGCAAGAGCTCTTAGACTTGGACCAGGCAGCGTTCCCAGATGCACCAGCCTTTTCTCATGAAGGGCTGTGCAGGTGGAAGATCGATGCGGCCAAGGAGAGGACGAGGCAGCAGATCATCGAGGAATCCAGTGAGGCCATTGATGCTTTGAAGCTTGGACATGCTTGTGCAGTACGTGTTTACTACAAAATGTTTTGTCTAATTGGCTTCAGTTGCATTCTCTACAAAATCAAAGGCCCCGAGGTCAACATGATTTGTTTATGGTCCTGTCGCCCCATACTACATAGCATTACAATATATTAGAATGGATATGAATGGATATATTACATACCACCATAAAACCATTCCACTCAGGTTTGCTCACATGAAGACGCCCGATGTCTTTGGCCGTGCAGTGAGCAAATACTTTGGTGGGCTCAGATCGCAGCTGGTCAAGGATCCACCTGCGCGCAACGGCTTTCTGAAGATGCTCAAGGAAATCTGTGATTTTCTTTGTGCAAAGCATCCTGTAAAACCTTCAGGAACTAATTCATCCTAGTAATACCTAGCATGCTACCCAGCCTACCAGGAATTCAGCAATTCTGTAAACATGATGCAGCTTGTAGAGACTGAGGTGTTCATTTCCATTCTGTAGTACAGAAAGGTTTGCTTAACCATCAGGTGGCCATTTTGTAGTTACACGCAGTTGCTGTTCGATGTGTTTGGGGTCAAAGAGATGGTTCAGGCTCGGGCAGTATGGATGCGCTGTAGACATGGCCAAGAGTTTTGCCGATTCCACAGGAATCATTCCGGGCATGCGAGGTAGGCCCACGCGGAACTCTGTCCGAAGACTTAATTCATCCTAGTATGCTACCCAGCCTGGCAGGAAATTCTGTGAATCTGCAAATATGATGCATTTTGTAGAGCCTGAGGTGTTTGTTTTCATTCTGTAGTAAAAAAGGTTTGTTTGACCATCAGGTTGTCATTTTGTAGTTACACGCAGTTCATGTTCCATGCGTGTGGGGTCAAAGAGATGGTTCAGGCTCGGGCAGTATGGATGGGCTGTAGATATGGCCATGAGTTTTGTGGATTCCATAGGAATCATTCCGGGCATGCGAGGTAGGCCCACGCGGAACTCTGTCCGAAGACTTAATTCACTGCAGCATACTGTAGGCTGTAGGCCACCTGCGCTGCCTCAAGCTACTGTAAGATGAACCTCAAGGATGTTCAAGGCCTGTGACGTGTACGTTACGTTTGCAATCGCAGCTCGGCGGGTGGACTAGAAAATGCACACAGAGACAAGAAGAGAGATTTCATGGAAGCAAAGATGGACAAAAGGCTGGGCCGCGCGATTTTGTAGAAGCTGCTTTTGATATGTTTTTGGCACCTGCGCTGGACCTGCAGGACCTGCAGGATGCATTTTGTAGTACGTCAAATGCCCCTTCCTTTTTGGTGTGTTCTGACCTGGGGGCTTGTCATTTTGTAGTCATTCAGGACTGCAGCTGGACATTTTGTAGAGCTGTGTTTTAGGTTGGGGCGTTGCATTGTGTAGAGAATGAGGTTGGGCAAACCGATCTGTACTACAAAATGTAGTGTCCAAGGTCACCCCCCAAATTGGCAAGAGGATCCTAGACATTGAAAGGCAACATGTGAAAACTACAAAACTAAAGATGCATCCGGGAAAAGCAGCCAAGAACGTGTCCATGCAAAGACTCTACGGCCAAATGGCAACTGAGAGGGGAGAGGGGAGGAACATCCAGTAGAATGCAGCAGCAGATTCTCATGAGCGGCTCCATCAGGAAACTTACCAGTGGCCCCAGGGCCCACTGGTATCTAAGAAGAAGGAAAGAAATACAGAAAAGGACGGGAAGAGAAGGAAGAAAGGTCTAGAGGAAAAAAGGGGAAAACACAGAGAGGTGTTAAGAAAACGGAACCTCCAAAAATGTAAGCTACTTTTTGGGACGCCCCTGAACCGGTGGTATGTACCTAGACATTGAAAGGCAACATATGGAAACTACAAAACTAAAGATGCATCCGGGAAAAGCAGCCAAGAAAGTGTCCATGCAAAGACTCTACGGCCAAATGGCAGCTGAGACAGGAGAGGGGAGGAAAATATAGATAGAAGAAAGACACCAGCAGTAGAATGCAGCAGCAGATTCTCATGAGCGGCTTCGTCAGGAATCGGGCCATGGCCGTAGGGCCCACTGGTATCTAAGAAGAAGGAAAGAAATACAGATAAGAACGGGAAGAGAAGGAAGAAAGGTCTAGAGGAAAAACGGGGAAAACACAGAGAGGCGTTAAGAAAACGGAACCTTCAAAAATGTAAGCTACATTTTGGGACGCCCCTAAACCGGTGGTATGCACCTAGACATTGAAAGGCCACATATGAAAACTACAAAACTAAAGCTGCATCCGAGGAGAGCAGCCAAGAACGGGTCCATGCAAAGACTCTACGGTCAAATGGCAATTGAGAGGGGAGAGGGGAGGAAGATATAAATAGAAGAAAGAAACCAGCAGATTCTCATGAGCGGCTCCGTCAGGAAGCGGGTAATGGCCCTGGGCCCTGGGCCCACTGGTATCTAAGAAGAAGGAAAGAACAGAAAAGAACGGGAAGAGAAGGAAGAAAGGTCTAGAGGAAAATGGAGAAAACACAGAGAGGCGTTAAGAAAATGGAACCTCCAAAAATATAAGCTACTTTTTGGGACGCCCCTGAACCGGTGGTATGTACCTAGACATTGAAAGGCAACATATG